CAGCTCTGCGTCACCCCCAGCAGGCTCGGGCCCGGGCAGGCGAGTGGGCTCCCCACGTGCTGCTCGACGGTCGACTCACACCCAGCTCCACAGACACAGACCCTGGGATGGACCAGAGTCCCGGGCACAGGACTGGAGGTGAGACGCCAGAGCAGGTGGAGGACAGGTGCCGATGCACCAGCTGGTGACACGTGTGCGCGGCTGCACGCGGACACATACACACACACACACACACACACAGGGCAGTGCGCACACGCACCCCCACAGGCAGCCACCCCGGACAGCAGCACCCTCTCCTGCAGGAGAGACCAGCTCCCTGGAGACAGCACTGCGGCCGAGGCAGGGACAGATGACCTGGAGCGCCTGGTCCAGTGAACTGAGTCAGCCTGTTCTTCGCATCCCTGAGGGGGCCGTCGGGCAAGGCTCACTGGGGTGACTGCTGTCCCGTCAGCCCCGGCTCCTCTCTGGCCCCCCCTTCCTCTTGAGCGCTGGACCTCGAAGGCCCTGGTCTGGCCATGGCCCTCCCCCAGCGTTGCACCGAGTGCCCAATCTTCCCCTCGATGCCCAGGGCAGCGCACGGATGGCCCGGCTCCTGCTGCCTCAGCCCCCTCTCCTGCAGGGACTGCAGGCGGCGTCCAACCCTCCTGCAGCTGCTGGGGCCCCATCAGTCTCCCAGTAATGAGCCAAACCTGCCCACCGCCTTCAGCAGGCCCAGCCCGGCCCCTCCTGTGTCTGCAGGCCGGGGCCCCATGCCCTCCATCGTCTCCACCCTTGCCACCCCCTGCGCCTGGTCCGCCTGCATGTGGAGGGCATGGTGAGCGCCAGGCCTCTCACTCCCTATCACAGGAGTTTCCAGGCACACGTGCCCAGCACCAGCTCCCACGCCCACTCGCCATCAGCTCTGTGCACCTGCAGAAACTGAAGCCTTCCCCACACCCCCCGGTCGCTGAGGCCTCATCTAACTGGACTGCGACCTGCTGTGACCTCTCCCATGACCTTTCCCCACCACGCACAGGGCGCATGGGGTGCACGGAGCGCGTGGGGTGGGCCCTGCTCCAGGCCATCCCACAGCCCTCCCAGCTGTCAGGCCTCTCGCTCTGGCCTCTCGCCCCTCCTGGCCGGGCCTGCTGCTCAGGCTCACATCCTCAGCTCGACCCCTGTGACCCTGCAAACTCTCCGAGCTGTCAACCAGGAGCAGTCACGGCGCCTTCCTCCACAGCACGTCCCCTCCCTCGCCGCGCAGTCAGGAAGGACCAGCAGGGCCGCCGGTGCCCCGCCCCAAGGCGCCCCGCCCACGGGCACCTACTTGGAGAAGATGACCATCAGCTTCCTCCTGCTCTTCCGAGGCTCCGCGTCCTCCTCGAACCCGTCCGTGTCCTTCCCCAGGAAGACCTCCTGGTGGAAGTCCTTGTTGAGGTGCCCGTCCATCTCCAGCTTCACCCCGTTCAGGTGGTCGGGGGGCAGGATCTCGTTGTCCTCCCTGTGGCCGCCTCTGTCCCGGGCAGACGAGTGGTTGGCAGGCCGGGCAGACGTGTCCATCAGAAGGACGAGGCCCAGGAGCCAGAGGCAGCGAGGAGCCAGGC